CGACCTTCTGAGGACCCGGCCCACGTAGACCGCGAAGGCCGGGTCCTCAGGAGGATGCAGCCCATGAATTTGGACACGATCTTAAACAGCATGAGTGTTAAAAACTTGAAATATTATCATTACACATGCTCTGGCTGCAGTCTGTGATGAGTGTGAGCTATGTGAGCGCTGCCTCTCAGGCCCCGACTGTCTCAGCAGCTCTCACTGTCCTGTCAGTCTGTGTTTGTCATCTGCATCTGTTTCCACACCAGGAAGAGATGCGGTAGGTGAGATTATTTTCAGTGGCACTTCTGTAAAATCTGCTCATAGCTGGGATGGGAGGTCCACCTCCATCAGCCAGGTGACGGAGAGGTGGGTTAGCTCGTCTGAATCCTTTCTGTCAGAGAGCTGCAGGTATAGTCCGTCGGGTGTAGGGTCAGGCTGTCAGCTGCTCCTTTCCCGTAAGCAGACTTGTTGTGGTTGGCTGTAAGACCAACACCTGTGTGTGCACGTGCACGTGTCAGGCAGCCCAGCAGCGAGCATGTCCTGCTGGACGCTGAAATCACTGAGCAGGATTCTGGCTGAAGCCTTCTGGTTTCTCTACGTGAGTCAGAAACGGGGTGGGAACCTCGGCTGAATGGTTTGTTCTGTACGTGAACAGCAGCCCAGCTCGGTTGGGAAGCATGAGCTGGTGTGAAGCCTCTCAAAGCCTTTCATGATTCAGCAGCTGGCTCTCTGCTTTGGCTGAGCGTCCATGAAGATATCTGTCAGCTGTTCTTCACAGTGCGTTGGCACGCAGCCTGGGAGGAGATCTGCACCCGTGTTGCAGAAACCTCCTCATGCTGTCTGCAGTCACAGCCAATAGCTGGCAGGCTGGAGGCAGCGATAGTTGTTTGCAACCTCAAACATGTCCACTGTGCAGTGCCTGAAGTCTTTGCCATAAATGCCTCATGTCCTCGGTGTATTCATTCGACTGTGTTTAGCTTGTTCTTTGCTTCAGTGTCACCAGCTCTGAACGCAGCGTCACAAATCCTCAGCAAGAAGCCGACCTCCCGTTAGCCGAGGTTTATTTCTGGAATGCAGCCTGACAGATTTAGCAAATCGGTGCATTTGTTTATAAATCCCATCACGAATATTCCTCTAGGTCTGCCGTCTCTTTTAAACGCTCCACCGTGTGCACACTAAAGCCTCCTGTGGCTGCACGCTCATGCAGTCCTTGGTGGCTCTTCCTCCGAGCCTGACAGCTGGGTAAGGGAGGTGAGGGAGCTGCAGCGTATGCAGCCCGTGTACGAGTCCCTCTTGTTGTGCATGTAACAAATGGAAGTGAGGTAAAAAAAGACCTGGGCTGTAGCTCAGGTGGTGTTTGATCCCTGGCTCCTCCAGTCTGCACACATAATATCCTCGGACACGAAGCCTGAGCTGCTCTCCGAGGCATCGATCGCATGAAGGTATCGGAAAAAGTTCTATAAAATGGTTTAAGCACTATATAAGAACCATTTACCATTTAGCCAACAGGCCCGAGGAACCTGCCGGTCAGCCGAGGTCAGCCCTTAACCTGCCTTCATGCTTTCTTGCTTCCCTTGTTTGCGTCTCCTTCACTCATTCATGCACATTTTTCTGTGTGAGCTACGTTCTGATGGATGTGGTCAGAGAGCAGCTCGGGGTTCGTATCTTGCCCAACAATATTATGCATGCAGACTGGAAATGAAATCTCAGGAAATGAGATTTATATCACGCAGAGGAAGATGATGTGTATAGAGAAGTTCAAAGCCACGAGTTACTGCAGGGCACAGTGCTGAATCTCACCTCAGCCGTCACTCAACCAGTTCTGAAGTGGACGGAGGTTGGACCAACGTGCAAATACTGATGCAGCATCCCTGCAATGCTCAGCCTCCAAAGTATCAGTGTCAGCTCAACCTAACATTAGTGAGCGATCCGGTGAGCAGCTGTCACATGGCTCGCTGTACGCTGGATGGCAAAGGTCACGACCACGATGGAAAAACAAGGCGGCAGGAGGCCAAGAGTCAGGATGGGCTCTGTGTGAGGAACCACACACCGAACAGGAGATCATATATCGAGGCCTGGTCACATGATCCCAATAACTTTGAGCTGCTGTAAATTTCAAAACCACAAAACAAAAAGTGATACACACTGGAC